GCCATCTCTTCGCATAGTAAGGTAGGTAACCTCCAATCGCGCCGCGGCCATCAGGGCCGTGGTAGCATAATTGGTCAGTGCATTCGCCCGGATTGCGAAGGGTGCGGGTTCGAATCCCGCCCGCTGCCTGGTCCGCGTGGATTTTTTTCTAGTAAAACTTTTCTTTAGATTTAAACATCTAGCAGTTAAATGCTTAAAAATAAATAAAAACATAAATAATTTAATCTTATTTTAGGACTTATCTATGATTTGATAGTTTTTTTTTCTATGATTTTGTTTAAAGCTAAAAATATCTAAGCTCGAAGGTTAACCTGATTTACTGTATTTTGCAGTTTTTTACGTAAGTTTCTCAAGTTTAAAGCTATCTTGATATGAAGTTAATGCGCAACTCGAATTTAGTCTTTCGCTTGTTGGACTCCATTAGAGTTTCTTAAAACTTGATTTGGAGCTTACGCCACTATCTTTTTAACCCACGCATCACCTAGTTAAGTTAGGGTGCGGTACAAGTGACAACACATGGGCGTTTGATAAAATTGTAGAGATAAACTAGATAGTTTTGTCGTTTTATTTGTTTTTTTATAGATTCAGGTAGGCAAATGACTCTACTACACCTGATGCTAAGTGGTGATAAAGTTTGCTATAGGTATAATGTCATTAAAAATCATATCAAGTTGAGTGCTATAATTCTGTGGAGAAATAGGGACCGAACCATATTATATTTTGCTGTAGGTGGTATTTTCTAAATTTTCTTCTTTTTCTTAACCTCGGGTTTAGCCTTTATCGTGTATAGGCTTCTTAATTTTTTCTAAATCTTATCTCTTATCTATTAGACAAGTCCGTCCGTCCGTCCGTGGTGCTGTTTCAGCGGCCAAACCGTAAGAGATAGATAAAGAGAATGTTTAAGTTATAAGTTGAGAATAGTCTGATAAGACTACAAACCGGATGTGAGTAACGTAGCACTTCCGGTTTTCGAGAAATCACGTGATTTCTATTTCAAACGAAACCACATAAAATTTCCGAAGTTCTCAATTAATTAAATACATTTTTTTTTGGTGAACATTTGGTTCACTGGTTTGCTAGTCTCTTATCTATTAGACAAGTCAGTCCGTCCGTCCGTGGTGCTGTTTCAGCGGCCAAACCGTAAGAAATAGATAAAGAGAATGCTTAAGTTATAAGTTGAGAATAGTCTGATAAGACTACAAACCGGATGTGAGTAACGTAGCACTTCCGGTTTTAGAGAAATCACGTGATTTCTATTTCAAACGAAACCACATAAAATCTCCGAAGTTCTCAATTAATTAAATACATTTTTTTTTGTGAACATTTGGTTCACTGGTTTGCTAGTTTTTTTTAATAAGCCTAGTTTTAATCGGGTATATGCCTCTTCATGGTTTCCTCGACTCCTCGCAACACGCATTCAGGTCTCGCCCACTATTTTGGTAATGCCATCAGTCCAACAGATTGGTTGCCTTCCCAAAAATTTTATGAAACGCTTTATCGCTAAAGATATTTCTGTTTCTTTCGCACTTATTCTATCAGGTATTTTCACTGTAGAGCTGAACCTCTCATTCTCAAAATCTTCATCAGTAAAAAGTTAGGTCTCCTTTCGCTTATATTTTATACCACACGCCAAAACAGTATGTAGGCAGTATAATGATCGGAGCAGGCAATTTCTTTGTCCGTTTCCCGTCCGTCCGTTCGTCAGTTGGTTTAGGCATCGTTTCCCTATACACACATAATGATATACGTACAGACGGACCGAATCATTTAATCGTTGGCGAGAAATTTTCAACATTGTCCTTTGTCACATCTAGTATAATGGATTGATAAGGGTCTCGACCATAACTCTATCTGTTTGATAATTTATTACATTTAGCTGTTGGGACGCGGATGTTGCCCCGTTCCCTTGAGTCACTATCACTATATCTCCATCTGTCACTGTGTCTGAATGCTTTGGCACGATTCTGTTGAGCTGTCGTTGAATGGCTTTAGACCTAGAAAAGAAAATCAGGTTTTAATACCACAAGACAGTATTTCTGTATAATAATTAAACTTGTTTATTATGCGTGACCCACCACGCGGGCCCTGTGCGGATTGATGAGTGCTAATGACTGCAGATGCAGCCGGGACCAACGGCTTCACGTCCCTTCCGAAGCACGGACGAGTTGGAGATAATTAGTTTTTGGACACACATCTATTGACCGACCAATACGAAAGTTGCTTAACTTTCACGAATATGCCACATATTATATAATTAAACTAATTACATGTCTCTTATAAATTTTTGGATGAAAATACAATGCTCACTATGGCATTTGAAACAATTAGCTATTTTTTTTAAGTATGTAACTACTTTATGTTTAAATCTAACTTAGCTGCCTGGTCCGCGTGAAATTGGTTCTAGTTATATTTTCTTTAGATTTAAACATCAAGCAGTTACATGCTTAAAAAATATATAAATATAATTGCTATTTCTTCTTTCAAATGTTTAATACTTGTAAAAGTATTCATTGGACGTTGTGGATTAGAAATAATGCGAAGAGATGGCGCTGCCTTGCAGCTTAAGAATGGCTAGAAGAATTTCGACACGGCCATTAGGGCCGCGGTAGCATAATTGGTCAATGTGTTCGCCTGGATAGCGAAGAGTGTGGGTTCGAGTCCCGTCTGCTGCCTGGTCAGCTTAGAATTTTTTCTAGTTATATTTTCTTTTAAAACAGTATTTAATATAACATAAATAAATTGGTAGTTCACTACGAAAATGTAACAATATTATACAGAGTAACATAAAATTACCAAACAATCAATAAACACAACAAAACGAATGTAAAAATTATATGAACGTAGTTGGTGCGCTAATGAGATGACCCGTTTATGTCGAAACAGGCGTAACCCAGAAAAATCATAAAACGGGTAATGAAGTAAAAAAAAGAGGAACTCCCTTATACAGTGTATTTATTTGGTGAGAAAAAAATTTACGACTCCCTTGGGTATGAACATATTATGTCAATTTTTACAACTATGACCCCGGCTCCGTCGTTCTGAGTTTTTATCTACTAAATTAATGTGTCTCTTTTATGGCTGCAGCTTTAAAAGTCCAGCATGTTTGTCAGATTTTTAGATGTTGTTTTATGTGTGAAACAAAAGAAATGGGTTAGCAAATTTTTGTGCAAGCAAAATATATTATTTTCTTAATCTTATGACTATTAAAATTTTTGATAAGGATAAAGATACAACATTGAAGTGGGAAGACTATTAATAAAATGCTAAAGTCAGAATTTGAATCATTTTTTATGTAGATATCCTGTAATGAAAGATTTCAACAACAAAAAGGTAACAGAAACTTCGAATTTAATAAAACTAAATTATTTTGAAACTTAATCTTGGAATAGCGGCCCCCAACTAATTTTAGGATAAAATGAGTCTTAAATATTAATCTTTCCCCAATAAACATTACTTTAGTTTAAGGACAGTGACAACGGTCTAACCTAACATATAATTTTAGTCACTGATTAATATTATTAACTTCAGCGTGTAATATGCCACTTATACCAGTAACGATAAAATAAATTACCAGTTTCAATTTCGTTTAAATCTACGTAGGCTGCATCTTCCGAACACATTATAAGATTTTGTGTAGCTGGTATATTTCTAATATGATGAGTATTTAGCATGATTGAAGAAACAGGGTTTTAGCTTTTTATTTAAATTAATTAAAATGAAAAAAAAATTTTCAATTTCTAAATGAGAATTCACGAAAGTGTACTAAAAGCACCATCGAAATAAGAATATTTAATTTAGTGACCTAGGAGAATCGGCTAAGTAAACACTCTTTATTGTAGCCCTTTTTGGTGATAAATATTTGTATATGATTAATTTAAATTAAAAATAGCAAAAAAATAATTATTAACGAAAATTAGATTAGATAGAATTAAGAAAATATGAGGTTCAATAAATTAAAGACTAAAGAAACTTTAGTTTCAATGAATTATCATTTTAATGAACTCGAAACTAAATCAACATTTTCGTTTGAAGACGAAAATGTTTTCTCTTGTGTTTGTTTAGGATGCTTGATAAATTGTTTGGGTGTTTCGTTTGTTACTTAACTGAGAAATATATTACATTATTAAAAAATCTAAAGACCTTATGCCTTTTGTTAATAATTACAACACTGCTAAAATAATGTGTAAACTAAATGTGTAACAATTTAAAAAGAAATAAAAAAAAGAACTTCTATTTTGCTAATATATAACATTCCGCCAGTCTATCGTTTGCGAGTCCGAAATGTCAATTTCAAATGTGTTCTGATTTTTAGTTCTCGTTACGTACTCTGTGCCGCTGCTGTTCAAGTTTCCATACAAAATTTGACATTGACATTTCGGTTCGCAAACTATTCGAATTCGATAATGGTTCGTGCTAGGGGTACAGGACTGTTGTACTTGCCAATGACTGGACTGAGTCGATTTTTCGTAGTAAAATTTTCTTTAAATTTATATATCTTGCAGTTTAATAAATAAAACAAGTTATAGCGGGTCAGATGCACTGATTTTATTTATTTATTGACATTTCGCATCCTTTGCATGAATGCGTCGTCAGAATAATGATTATTTATTTATTTTGTCGAGCTACCTTCGAAAGAGTTTTATTGAGCGTTCGGATATTTCATTGGAGGATTTTTAAAACTTGAATTTATTATCTAATTTAATTATTAAAGTACTTTATTTAATTCTTATTTAGCAGTTTAATGCTCAATTTCAAGTAATAAAAAAAATATACACAAAATTCATTTTCTTAACACTCCAATCCAGGCTGGATTGAATATTACGCATGTTTATGTATAATAAAAATAATGATTGTTTATTCAAGGGCACCCATTAGACCATCAAAAAAGTGCCCAAAGGATCATATTTACATAACCCATTCGACCTTCTGAATTTATTTATATTAACTACTACTCTTTACATAATTATGTTTTCTAATTATTATTTTTTCTGTCTTTTTAGATCACTGGGACGACCTCATTGGCCACATCAAAAAGTGACTCGAACAAAATGATGTAGAAATCGAAAAAGATAAGATAAACCCTGTTTAGCACTCTAGTGACAAATCGTGTTAAGTGACAGTGACGAAAATATTGAGTGACATAATTTTAACCATTTAAATGGTGTTCAGTGAACAAAGTGACAATGTGGAGGTGATTAGTAATCAATCTAGTTGTAAATAAACTATGTGCTGTGCAATTGTTGTGAATATCTCATTTAATAGTCAAGATGTGTGCCAAATTAGAGAATCTGGTGGTCGTCGTATGTGGTAAGTTTTTTTTTTTATTCCTTATTAAGCCATCTTAAAGGTTAAGCCGGTTACATAGTTATAACTTTAATTAATATCACAATATGAATAAGGATAACGAAAGAAGCCTAAGAATTCTGTTAAAACATTGATGAAATATAAAAAAATGAATCTTGTCTACTACATTTAGTTTTATCAATGAGATCAACTCTGTGTGTTTCGTTCTGCGAACAGTAGTGATGTGGTAAGTTTTAAGAATAGAAATTATTACTTGTCCAAATTAATATGTTTAAAAAATATTGCATGAAATCTTTAATTTTAAACATTTTTGCTCCATTGTAATCGGGTAATTAAAACATGTAATGTGTTCAAAATTTCATAGAATACTAAAGGTATTTATTTTAAATTAATAATAAGTTAATTATTAATTTAATATAAATTAAGAGACAAGAAGCGATGATGACATTCGTAGGCTGGCTGGAGTGGGCTGGATGAGAGTGGCAGAAAATCGGGAGCAGTGGCGTGCATTAGGGGAGACCTGTGTCCAGCAGTGGACGAGCATAGGTCGATGATGATGATGGATAAGTTCGTCTTTGAAAGAACTTAGAACGTCATATTATAACGCGTGAAATTAAAATATAAATACTAAATAACAAAGTTAGTCAACTGATTAGTGTGCACAGAGAAACAAAAGATTTTTTAGATTTTTTTAATTTAATCCAGCGATGGGATGGTATTGAACTCTATCTTACAACACCAATAATTAATCGGTACCTATAATTGAGCGCGAGTCATTAAAACCCGCAGTCGAATAGAATTAATGAATTTTGTTTGCGCTAAATTAATTTCAAATAGTACTTACTACTTGTTAAATTGAATGCGATTCCGAAATATTGGAAAATTTGTGAAATCTAGAAATAATTAATTAGATATTTCACATTGATGAACATGATTTGGTGATTCTGTTTTAAAATGCAGTAAAGTCATATTTATGTAATGAGTATTACAAGTAAGTACTATATTTAAGGACTTCAATTGCAACATGTTAATCTATATATATAAAACTCAAAGGTGACTGACTGACTGACATAGTGATCTATATAGTATCAGCCCAAACCACTGGACGGATCGGGCTGAAATTTGGCATGCAGCTAGATGTTATGACGTAGGCATCCGCTAAGAAAGGATTTTGATCAATTCTACCCCCAAGAGGATAAAATACCGAAGCGAAGCGAGGGCGGGCCACTGGTAATAATTATAACGTGTTGTAATATTCTGTTGATAACGCAAAGAAATATTGAATCTAACTAAAAGAATAATACACGGCCTCAAGTGCGGCCGTTAGATTAATTATGAATGATTATGTATGTAACTAGTGAAGTGCTATAAGGAAATTTATAAATTAAAAGCCATTAACTCATTATTTTAATATTCCAATTTTTCCCGGATATATTCTCGGAAATAATTAAATTTTCAGGAAAGTTTCCGGAATATTCCCAGTATTTCCAACCCATTGACCCAACCACTAACTATTTTGGTAACCAAAGAGATGAGCAGAACATTAAAAATAAATAAATATACACTCACACCAATTATCTCAACCCACAAAGGAAGCACTGTCAAGACTTGTGTTATGAGATACTAGGGTAACTGATAGAATATACATACTGATGCTTGTGTAAGTAAATTTTATCTATGAACTAGTGGCCCGCCCTCGCTTCGCTTCGGTGTAGAGCTGTAGGGTAGACTATAGTTTTTGTTCTCAGGCTTGTATTATACACAATAACATTATTCTAGTACCTAATTATAATAGGCACGCGCCGCCAGAGGGTAGCGTCGGAACCGCTATGTCCCTGCATTTTAAATCTGTAATATCTTCGAAAATATTCGTTTAAATAACATGCGTTAAAGGGCCAAATTGGTCTATATTAAATGCACAATGTAGTACCTTAAGTACTTCATTGGATAAGGATGAATGTTATATTGCTGAAAATCGCTTCGTAAATAATCTATTATTCCTCGTAAAATGTAAGGGATAAAAAATGGTTATTGTAGGTTATCCCTAAGAGATAGACATATACCATCGTGGACTTTTTTGTAGATATTTTTAAGGTGTACAATACTGTAGTACATTATTTTGATCTATCTCGTAGGGTTCAGCCAGCGTTTGCAATGTAAGCGCTAAAAAATGTTTTTTGACCTTACATTAAAAACCTCCTAAATTATCAGTGTTTCTCTACTATATTATGCATGTATTATTTATACAAACCTTCCTCTTGAATCACTCTATCTATTAAAAATACGCATTAAAATCCGTTGTGTAGTTTTAAAGATCTAAGCATACATAGGGACATAGGGACAGAAAGCGGGAAGCGACTTTGCTTTATACTATGTAGTGATATATATAAACATCCATGACTAAGGTACAAATGCTCGTATTCATCATACTCGACCCCTGGTATTCGAAGGGGGAAGGGTATTTTAACCTGGGTCTGGTATTCGAACCCAGGACCTCTGAGTAGGCAACATACTTTGAAGTATATACCACTCAATCACGGATGCGGGTCGTTAATAATGTTATAACGGGAAGTTTTAAAACAATTTGTAGTATTGCTTACAAAATTTCACAAACGCTCACTTCATAGTTGTTGTGGCTAGTAAGCCATGGTGTTAAAAATATATATAAAGGAAAAACCATAATTATTAATGCCACAATGACGATTTATCAAAACAATGTATAACTTTGGAGTCCATAGGTACCCATACCGGTATTTGGCCCCCATAAAATCGTGATGGTTTTTTAGTAATTAAATTTTCATGGCATAAGCTGTCGTATAAAACATGCACGCACCCACGCTTTTAAATTCCCATAATTTGCTAAACCGGTCGGTGAATCGTTTGCAAACGAAAAAAGTTTTTTCGGCACTATACCTAAATATGATGATTTTAGAGTTATGATACTTTTCATAAGGCATGCCTATTACAATGAGTCATTAAAATCATAAAACAGTTCATTTTAATGAAGCAATCAACTTTTAAAATTTTGTTTAACGACTTTGAAAACAACAAAATCATTGGCATCAATCTGTCATCATAGTTAAAGAGATTATAGGTAACATTTACTGATTTAAAACTTGATGGCGCAAGTAGTTAATTAGCGCGTTCTGCTGTGATCGTTGAAGTTAAGCAACTTTCACAGTGGTCGGTCATTGGATGGGTGACCAAAAATTTACTTAATAATAATTTATACTATTTTAATTTAACTCGAGTTCCTCTGTGTTTCGTAAGGCATGGATTCGTATAGCAGTTGATCAGGGATGCTTCAGCAGTGGTTAGCACCCACCAATCCACACTGTGCTCTTGTGGTGGGTCATGGGCCAATCTCCCTATTCCATCCATAGGGAAGGGCTGTACTCCCACTCCCACTATTAATATCCCCACTGCTTGGATTTAATAGACTGATGATGATGATGAACCATAATAATATATCGTTTAATTCATCTGTCTAAGTATTGAATTCATGAATCATGACATGCAGCCCACTGACTGAAAGAATAATGTTTTTACAAAGGGGGTTAAACTATTATTAGAGTTAAATTACTATGAGGAAGTTCGAGCAAAAGTTTTCTTGGCCAATGGAATGTACTTACAATAATACACAAAAGTCATAGCAATACAAATAAAAACAGAAAGCATAAACAAAGCTATTCGAATATAACACAAGTACGTTCGAAACATAAGCAATAGGAAACATGACGTTATTTTTAACGACCAAACAAAGCGAGATTTTGAACGAATCCAATCGGCTACCTACTTCACAACGCTAGTAAGTCAACATTTGAAATATTAATACCGACAACATAGGGTCGCATTGTTTTGTCGTTCGAAGCAACTTTTCCGAACTTATTGACCTACAATTATGTTTGAGTTGAAAGCGAAAAAATATTGTGCTTACGCGTTTTGTTAGTTCGCAAAGGTTGGAGGTTAAAGGATTGTGTTGTGCAATTATTAATAACTAGCAAACCAGTGTACCCAATGTTCACCAAAAAAAAATAAAAAAAATAAAAAATAAAAAATTGAGAACTTCGGAGATTTTGTGTGGTTTCCTTTGAAATAGAAATCACGTGATTTCTCGAAAACCGGAAGTGCTACGTTACTCAAATCCGGTTTGTAGTCTTATCAGACTATTCTTAACTTATAACTTAAACATTCTCTTTATCTATCTCTTACGGTTTGGCCGCTGAAACAGCACAACGGACGGACGGACTTGTCTAATAGATAAGAGATGATAATAATATTCTTTATTGTAATAAACCATACAAGACACACAAATATATTGAAAAGTTTTAGTACTAGCCTATTTTAGATTTGATAATGATATCGTGTCATTTAAAACTTACGTTTTACAGTATGGTTGAGTTCATGAATTATGGTAGGATTTGATGCACGGGTTGAAGACATGCTTAATGGGTTTAAATGTAACATTTAATTTCGATTCTTTACAAGATCATTCTAATTTTGACATTCACATAATTATAAAAATAAAACATGCTAAATTGATAACACCAATTAAATATAATATTATAATAACAATTATTGACATTTATATAGGTAATTGAATAGAAATGTTATCTTTTTATGACTAAATAGGTTATGATACATTTTAGATAAAATGTAACACCATTATTTGTATCCTATTTATTGCAAATAAATTGAATTGAATTGGATTATTTTTTTAATCACGTCTTTTTAGTCACTTCGGAACTAATCAATAAACGAGTAGTTTTGTAATTTTATAGATATTAACTCAATTATATAATATATGTACACGGCTAATGAAAAAAAAAAGTTTATTTATCATATAACAAAACTCTTTAGAAGGTATATTTTCATTGTGTTTTTTAAATGAAACGACTTTAAAATCGAAACGAAATCATAAATAAATTTTCATAAGACTTAGGCGACATGTCGCATACCTAACCCGCAGCATCACACCCTCCCGAAGTACCGATATTTATTAG